TCCAGGGTCACATCCAGAGCCCTGCACAGGAAGCAGCATTCCAGGGTTGCATCCAGAGCCCTGGTGCTGACCTGCACATCTCCTGCAGCCCCACAACCACATAACCACAGCCCACCAAAGGTCTGCAAGCAGCTCAAACCCCCTTTTCTCCCCTGCTTGCCCAGGTTGCTGCTGCAGCTCGGGCCTGGCAAGCCTTGCTGGGGGCAGGTTTGCGAGGGAGGCAGCGATCCCGCTCTCCCGGGAGCCCGCAGTCCGTGCAGGGAAGGTACTTGCTCCCAATCCAGCTAAATTGCTATTGACTTGTGTTCTCTGCGCTTCACAAACATCACACTCAGCCGGCTCGCCGCCGGTATCCTGCCAGGGCTAACTTGGGAAGCCAGCTGTGCTGGGCCGTTTTTTCCTGCTCTTTCCCATCGATCAAAGAATTAAATTGACAGATGGGGAATTTTGCGCGAGACGCGAGAAAGGGGAAGGAATGGCTTGTGGGGGATTTTTTTTTTTTTTATGGGTAGGACGGGGTGGAAGGAGGGGAGGGCGAGTGAGGGAGCTGCGTGAGGAGGGGGTTGCAGTTGTGTTTCCAGCGAGGGCCCTGCTCAGCAGAGGCTGTGGGTGGGTGTAAAGCAGCAGAGCCCCACTGCAGCTCATCCCTGTTATTTACAGTTGTTTACTGTAAGTTGGGGGTTTGCAAGGACAGGCATGTTCCACTCTGGACCTGATCCTCCCTGGCAGGGTGGGAAAAGTCTCCCCTTTCACCATCACCTTCCAGGTTGCTCCTCCTTTGGCCACAGCCCCCCAGGCTGCTCCTTTTCCCTCACCTCCCAGCCGTTTGGCCTCCCTTTTTTCTCCTTTCTTCTTCTTTTTCTCTATTTTTTTTTCTCTTTTAGGATTTTTTTAAGAGAGCATCTGTAACTAATGCAAACACATGCCATAGCCGGAGAGTAAAACCCTGCAGGATTAGCGTGGCATCCGCAACCCTGCCACGTTCTAATCCCGTGGTAATCCCCCTCTCGGCCCACCCCCGCCGGCTTTGGCTATTGTTTAAAGGAAGCAAATGGGATCGTTAGCGGGCAAACCTTAACCAGCTTGGAGCAGCAGAACGGAAGTTGAACCAATTCGCTTCCCCACCCTCCTGGGTTTTTATTTTCCCGTTTTCCTCCGTTGTTACACGATGGGAGAATGTTCCCGGTGCTCCCCATGGCCGAACTGGTGAATCTGGAGGATGCAGTGGGGGGCATTTCCCCTGCCAGCCCCCAGCCTGTGCCACAGCAGGTCCTGTGGGGCCAGCACTCTGCTTAGGGATGCTCCCTTTGCACCCAGCATCCCACATCCTCTCCTCCATGCAACCCCCATCATTGCTTCCATGCAGGCTTTCTGCATGGGACACTTCAGGGTCTGGTGGGGACGGGGTGGCAGGTGCAGGACACACTTCCCTGCAATGGATTTGGGAGCTGAGGCCGTGGTTGATGCCGTTTCCAAGCATGAGGGCAGAGTAAAGGCAAGGGAGAACTGCTGAGCTGGCACCTTTCTCTAAGGTGGGTTGTCCCTTGTGCCTTTGGGTGATTGAACTGGGAAGAGCCACTGGAGGGTCTTGGGGTGGCACCTTGTGGTCTCTCTCGGCTCCCCTGAGCTCAGCAGGGTGGGTGCTGGGAGGGGAGCAGGGTCCACCAGCACCCCTGTCCCCAGCCTGTCCCCACAGCCCCTGGGGGGAAGGGAGGCAGATTCTGGCTCTCTGTCAAAGAATTAATTGAAAAATAAAATCATTAGATGGGAACTCCAGAAATGCAAAATTGTTGGGAGTTGGGGGGAGGTGGAGAGGGGGGGGGATGTGAGCTTTTGTCAGGTTAATTTCTTCTGTATTGATGTTTTGTGACATTTACTTGTTGTTTATCTCCCGCAGCAGCTGTAATACTAAAAGAAAATGCACAGCTTGTTCCATTTATTTATTTTACACCTTTTCTTTAGTCCTATGGTATGTTTGTTTGTTTGAGAAACCCAGCGAGGCTTTTGATGTCTGAAAGCAGGATTTAAACAGCTGTTCTCCATGTGCTGCTCGCAAGCGAGAGCCGCTGGCTGGGGAGCGAACGGGGGGAGAGGGGGCTGTGCCGTGGCTCCTGCCAGGAGGGCATTTCTTGCCCACCAGAGAGGGGGGTGTTGGCCTCAGAACACGGACTAAATGGCTTTGCCACCCTAAAGTGGGGTTGGGATGTTCACTCAGGTGCTGGCAGCCCCCAGGGCTGGCTGTAGCATCCGTGGGGAGGGATACACAGCGCTGCACCCCACGGGAGTTTGGGGAGCCAGGGGGTCACAGGACAGTGCTGTTGGTGTGGGGTAGGAGAAGCAAAGCAGGGACATCCTTGCCCCAGCTGTCTGGGCAGAGCCAGGTGAGGGATGTGGTCTGGGCTATAGGAATTGTATGGTCTCAGCAAGGATGTTGGTGGATCTGTGTTGGTTGGTGGTGTCTGGGTCGGTCTTGTGACCACTTTTGCACAAGAGATGGGTGAATTGGGGTGAACAGGAGGGGTTGACATCACCAGTGAGCCTTTTGGGCTTCTGGGGCTGTTTGCTTTCAGCAAAGCCTGTGAACTAAAGCACAGGTGGAAGGTAAGAGAGTCACAGCTCCAGCCATGGTACCCTGCCAGGACCTGGCTGGGGAGGAGAAGTACGTAATAGTTGAGGGACTTCACCTGGAAGGGGGATGAGAGGACTGGAGGTATCCTGCTACCTCCAGCCCCCTCATGCCCTCCCAGGTAAATGAGCTGGAGGTGAGCTGTATGTGAGTCCAGGTTGTAATTTTTACTTTTCTTCTTCCCTGTTTCGCTGCCACCTGGGCCTGGACAGACTCCCCAAAGAAGAAAAAACGATCAGAGGTTTTGAATGAAATCCTGGAACACCTGGAAGAGGAGGAGAACAACAAAGATGAGGACATGTAACAACTGCCTGGTATCTGGTGAGGTGGGTACGAGGGCAGTGGGGCCGTGGTGGGCACAGCTGGCCCTAAAGGTCAGAATGTCTTGGGCTGCCACGGGGTTGTCAGTGCCAGGCTGAGGAGAAAGTAGAACTGTGAAGGCTCAGCAGCCTCCAAGCAGGGGTCCTACCCTCTGCCCCTCCTCCCTGTCACCCCACAGGCTCGTGGCCATGGTCTCAGGGGGTACAGCCCAGATTTGGGCTGGGTTTAGGCTCCATGTAGAAGTGAGTGCACACACTGCATGTGTCCCTGTGTGCTCCCCTGTGCATTTGCTTCCCTGCAAGGGAAGGCAGCAGAATTGCTGCTGCAGCAGAAATCGCTGTCGAGGCACGAATTGGCCCTCCCTGTGGCTGGGGGAGAACAGATGGGCTGCCAAGAAATAAAAATGCCTGTTTGGAAACCAACCTGCAGCTGCCACCTTGAAACAGAGAGTTTGGCAAAGGCCTTTTTCCTGCTATCGCCCAGGACTTTCCTGGTTTGCTCCCTCCAAGGGCACCCTGCTCCCCAAGGGCTGGTTCATGCTGTCTCCAGTCCTGGCTGACATCACTCTTCCTTGGCATGTGTCTTCTTGGACATCTTGAGGCTGGAGAGTGTGGGATGGCAGAGGTTGGCAGGAGGGAGCCAGAATTAAATGGTTCCCTATGGGCAAACACTGTGCAGTCCTGCCAGCCCCCCACCTCCTTTTGAGACCACCGAGCACACCCTTGGTGGGTTCGAGAGAGCTGAGACACGCTCATGGATCTGTTTTGCCTGTGTTGGTGGCCATGGTGGAGACCCTGGATTGCTGGTAGGAAACCGATCACAGTGTCTGGAAAACACCAGGAGGGCTCCTAGGTCCCTTTGAGCTGCACCCTGCTCCCCTTTTTCCATCCGCTGATAGACTGGCTGCCCACCTCCACTATGGGGAAACCTCATCCTGGGCTGAGAAACTCATGCAGGGCCAAGAGAGAGAAGTGCATCATGTTGGCACTGTACCCACAAGGAGGTGGCTTGGGGCACTGGGCTGACATATCCCTCCTGCTGGGGACAAAGTCCCTGTGGTGTCTCCTCCAGCAGCGCTGTGTTTGCTCAACACCACCAAGGGAATGATTTCACCACGTCTGACTCCTGTTTTTCCAGCCTCAGAAATTACTCCTGTTCCTAAATCTCATCTAAGCAGCCCAGGGGTCTCCTGGTTTGCAGGGTGCTGTCAGACCTGTGTGCTGTGTGGGATCAGGGTCTGTTCTCTGTGTACCCACCCCTGGAAGCCGCCCCGCGCTCACAGCCATCTGTTTGTATGTGAGATGCACATCACTGTGTGTGTGTGTGAGATGCACATCACTGTGTGTGTGAGATGCACATCACTGTGTGTGTGTGTGTGTGTGTGTGTGTGAGATGCACATCAATCTGTGTGTATGTGAGATGCACATCACTGTGTGTGTGTGAGATGCACATCACTGTGTGTGTGTGTGTGTGTGATACACATCACTGTATGTGTGTGTGTGAGATGCACATCACTGTGTGTTTGTATGATGCACATCACTGTGTGTGTGTGTGAGATGCACATCACTGTGTTTGTATGATGCACATCACTGTGTGTGTGTGTCTGTGTGTGTGAGATGCATATCACTGTATGTGTGTGTGTGAGATGCACATCACTGTGTGTGTGTGAGATGCACATCACTGTGTGTGTGAGATGCACATCACTGTGTGTGTGTCTGTGTGTGTGAGATGCATATCACTGTATGTGTGTGTGTGAGATGCACATCACTCTGTGTGTGTGTGAGATGCACATCACTCTGTGTGTTTGTATGATGCACATCACTGTGTGTGTGTGTGTGTGAGATGCGCATCACTCTGTGTGTGTGAGATGCACGTTACTGCTGGAGATGCTGTTTTCCTCTCGGCAATCTCTGCCTGTTGCTGCGAGGTGGTGCCCAATACACCGAGCAGTGGGGTGCTCATAACCTTACTTATTACCAGACTTTTGTTCAGCTCACACCACCGCTGGCCGCCTGAACCACGGGCACATCTGGCCCTGGAGCCAACCAATAACCCCGTTAATCCACGTGCCTTCCCAGGCTGCCACCGGCACCAGGCACGAGCAGAGCACCGGGGCCCTCCTGATGAAAGGGAAGGTGCTTACGTGACCACGGGAATAATCCAGGTTGGGTTAAACAACTGCCTCTTTCGTGCAGTGCCTCTGCAGGAAGTGTCGGGGCTTCCAGATGATGTTTTTCCCCTCAGAGCAGCTCTAATTTAAGGATCCCTCCAGGTGTACCTGCTGTTAACACCTTCTCCAGCCCGAGGGTGGAGCTGGGGAGGGATTGAGGAGGGGAGGGATGGAGCAGCACAGAAGGGGCAGGACACACGGTGTTGCTCAGAGGCCAGGCAAGCCCTGTGCTCACAGATGTGTCCTGTCCCAGTTCTTCTGGGACACAAATGTGACCTTGCCCGTTTTTCTCCCAAAACCCATCCTCCCACGGGGCCTGGGGGTTGGCACTGGTGGGCTTGAGGCTCCCTGGCTCTTTCTGCAGTCCCAGGAGGAGGCTGAGCGCTCCTGCTCAGTGACCAGAGCTGTGACACCCCGTGCTGGTCCCCCAAGTTGTACTGCAGCTCCAGAGCCCTGCTACTGCCACTGAGGGGCTTCCCAGACCCCAACTCCAGACATTCCTGCTGTTGAGGCCTGGGGGTGCTGGCTCAGAGGACAGACCCCCACAAAATTCAGGGATACCCCTTAGGGATCCCTGCAGAGCTGCAATGTAAAACCCTCAGCCCTTATGGCAGCTCCAGTGCATCCACCCTGCCCTTTGCAGGTGGGTAAACTGAGGCACAGGTGTAGAAGCAGGGCTGTCAAAGGAGGTGTCAGTGTGTCACCTGCAGTGGTGACATGGTTTTTCTCCCTTTTTTTTTGCTTAGCATTGATGAGTGACATTCCCATCCCCACTCCCTCTGCGTCTCCCCACTGCCTTTGCCTCCTGACATGGCTGGTCCCAGCAGCTCTGCACTGGGTGATCACTGCAGGGAAACTTCACCCTTAGCTAAATTAGATTTAAATTTAGCAGGGAAGTTTTAACATCCTGAGTGTGAAGGACCAACCAGCAGCCGACAGCCAGCACAGGGGACAGAGGAGCCAGGCAGGGTCCCTTCCAGGCACGTGTATCACCCAGCACATGATTTAAGCGAAGCTTTGCAGTGTTGCAGGTTGGGGTTGGATTTTCCTGGGGGGTTTTTTCCTGATTTTTTTGTGGTTTGGGTTTTTTTTGTTGGTTTTTTTTTTGGTTTTTCTTTTTTTTCCTCTCTTTCCCTTCATTGTCTTTTGTGGCAGGGCAGGTTTCTTGCTGAGTGTCTCTGAGGTCTGCAGCGGCGACGAAAAGGATTAGCGCAAGCAGAGCATGTAGGCTTTAGAGAACAGAGCAGAGTTTGGTTTCAACATCTAATTCAATTTGTTCTGCCGAGATTGAAATATGAAATGGTTGCCAGTCAAACGTTCAAAGGGGGAGGAGGGAGGAAAGAAGAGAGGGAGCCTTCTCAAATTTAAATTTTAATGAAAATTAATTTAACCCTTTGATATGTTTTAAAACATGTTATTTCCCAGTCTGGAAACGGGCTGGCAAACATTCATGAGGGTTTCTTTTTTTTTCCCCCCCATACCTTCAATCGTAATGAAGATTTTCTTTTTCCCTTAATGATACTTATCTTGTTGAGCAGTTTGACATTGGTTAATTTTTCAGGCAATTTGGTATCAAGGAAATCTGTTTGATGTGAGCGGGGGGGGCTGTGTATGTGTATACAGATATATATGTGCCTGGACATTAATTATGAAAGTGCTGATCGCAGCTCTGAAGAACTGTTTGAGTTAATTCCTGCTCCACCAGCAAAGACTCCACTTCTTTGTTACATATTGAGAATCCCACACATGGCACCCCTAAATTTACAGCGGGTTTACCGGGAAATTTTGGAAAACGAGCATATACCCGCTAATTACCCTGAATTAAAATGATTGCCTAAGTAGGTCTGCAGGAAATTCATCACTCCCCGCTGCCTGGGTTTTTTTTTTCTCTGATCTGGAACAATCATAATGATAAAATAATGCAAACTCTCTTAACTGTCCACGTAGTTAAAGCTGGGAAACAGCCTCCCACTGGTCCTTAACGTCGGTCGTGCTTTTCCGGCTGAACACCGTCACAATGCACTTGTTTGGTTTGGGAGGGATAATAGTTTCTTTTAGCAATAACTGTTATTCAGAAAGGTTGTATCTGTACCAAATGGTTGCACACTAATTGTTGTAATGAGGCTGTGAGGAGCTGTAGCCCTGGTCCCCTCGCTTTCCTGGCTCTTGGCACCCCAGGGGCGGTGTCACCGTGTGCGCCGGTCACCCCTCAGCTGCCCTGTGCTCCCTGGGGAGAAATGGCCACTTGGGGGGTGGGATGCTCACCTGCTCTGGGTGTCCTTTTTGGGATGGGTGTGTTTACCCAGGCTGTGCTGATGGCAGAGGGGATGAGCAGCTCCAAGCCCATCATCACCCCTTGCTCTGCAGACAAGAGCTGGGGTACAGCCACCCTAGATGGGGTCAGGGAGTCTCTCTGAGACTGTGCTCAGGACATGCTCTTCCCATTGGAGAGCTGAAACCAGTAGTTTACACTCAGTCCTGTCTTCTGGGACCCTGGGATACGATACAGGGTCCCCATGGGGTCTGCAGATCCCCAGGTTGGAGCTGGTGGGCTTCTGGCAGGTTGTGACATCTTCATCCAGGGTGAGACCCCAGCGAGCTGGACAACAGCAGGAGCTGTGACAGCTGTGGCTGTTCCCCAGGCACTCTCCATATCCCCTTCCCCAGGGCCAGCTCTGGAATTGGATTAGGATATTATTCAAATGCAGCCTTTTTACTGAATGAGAGGGTTAACTGGTTTTAATGTAGAACCAGCTCTCCTTCATTGCTGCCTGTTGCCAGAGGCCTGTGTGGGCTGTTATCTACTTACAGGGACAGCAGGCAAGGCAAGGCAGAGAGGATATCCAAGGGACCTGGCTTTGCTGGGCACTGCCAGCCCCTCTACTTGCAGGGCTGAGACATCATGTCTCTGCTGAGCCAGGCTGTGCCACAGTGTCCTCTTTGATTGCTCAAAGTGACTCACTGCCTTTGGAAAACTCCTGACCACGATCTGTGGTGGTTTTCTCCCTGTTCCACAGGAGGAGGGGGCAGGAGAGTCAGAGCAGGCAGGAAGCATCCTGCTCTGTGAGCTCTTGGTGGTTTCTTTTCATCACCATTGCACTACTCCTGCTACAGATCACAAATTTCAGCTCTTCTCATCCCTCTAGTCCCATCTTGCCTTTGCAAAGTCTTCCTCCTGGGTGCCCTCCACGGAGTGGGGCTCTGGGAAGTGCTGAAGGGCCAAGCAAGGCTGTCTCCTTGCAGAAAACACTAGAGATGCCATTCACCAGCCCTTTTGCCAGGGCTGCACAGGCTTGCATCCCCCTGTGTCATGCCTGCTGTTTTCCAGCCAGGAACTCTGGAATCTCCAACATTTTCTCAGCCTGTTTGTCAACAGCCATCCCCTTCTCCCCAGCAATTTTACCAGCTTTGCTTGCTTGCTCACAGAGACAGTGAGTGTGGTGCCTGTGCATGTTTGCAGTTGTCTTGAGCAAGATGTGGCAGGAAACATGCAGGAAGGGTTTAGGCTTGGGAAAAAAACAGTGCTTTGGTGGCTACTCCTTTGAGAGGGAAGAAGCAGTGTGGTCAGGGGAGACCTTCTCGCTCTCAACAACTACCTGACAGGAGGTTGTGGTGAGGTGGGGGTCTCTTCTCCCAGGCAAATAAGTGATAGGACAAAAAGAAATGGCCTCAGGAGCTGTGCCAGGGGAGGTTCAGGTTGCACATCAGGAAGAATTTGGTGGTCAGGCACTGGAAGTGGTTCCCCATCCCTGGGGGTGTTCAAGGAATGACTCAGTGCTCTGGGCTGGGTGACAAGGTGGTGTTTGGTCAAAGGTTGGACTCAATGATCTTGGAGGTCTTTTCCAACCTCAATGATTCTGTGATTCTATGAGGGCAGGTTGCTGCTGGTGGAGCAAAGCTCTCCCACAGAGACCTTCCCTCGCTGCCTCAGTTTCCCCATTTGCAAAGGCTGTTACTGAGATGCTGGAGGGAGATCTGGGGAGCACGAGCTCCTCCTTAATACTGCAACACACCCTTACCCTGGTTCACACCATGGCCAATATTCGACACCACCACCTTCAGCTTCCACCAGCACCTTCCTCCCCAGGAAATCCAGCAGGAGAATGAGGAGGCAGTGTGTGCAGTTCTCCTTTCTCCAGAGCACAGCTCCGTGTGACTGAGACACGCTGCCTCCTGTTTTCCCTAAATATATGCATTGGAGAGGGAGAGAAACCGCATGGCCGGGCTTGAGATTTCAGACTTCGCCATTCATGAATAATAATCAGGCTCAGTAATTCACAGTAAATAGGTATCCAAATTGGCTAATAAGGGAGGCTTTCACCCCAAACTGGAGCTAGGAAGAGAGGCAGAGAGAACACGAGCAGACGTTGGCTGAGGCGATGTGTGCACGGTGTGACCTGAATCGGTGAAATGCGGGAAGCGGTGCCAGCGCGGGAGTGGGGAGAGGGACCCTGGAGAAGGGATGGTATCCCACCTCCCCTGCTGTGGGGCAGCTGTGGCCAGGCTCAGGCTTGCAGGAGCAGGATCCCTACGTTCCACAGTCCATAATTAGTGCCGTGTAATTAGGCTTGGCTCTGTCTCCCAGCCCCAGGACCGCACTGGGCTGCTGGGCGTGAGTGTGCGTGGACAGGGAGGGTATGAAGACAGTGTCACCACATCCCACATGTGACATCCCCAGCTCAGGGCTTAGCAAAGCTGCTGGGACAAGGGGAATGAGAGTAGGACAGTAGTAGGGAAGTCTGCAGCGTGAGTCAGGAGAGGTGATCTGGGGGCAAAAAAGGTTTTCTTCGTGTTCACACAACTAAAATTTGGGTTTTGTTTTGCTGGTGGTTAATTTTCTCCTGTGAGAGCTAACAAGGCAGCAGTGGGAGCTGCATTCAGATGCAGTGAGGTGACCTGTGGGTCTTCATCTGCTGGCAACAGGCTCTGACAGGGAGGAGATGGTGCCCCACAGACACCCCCTGCTCACAGAGAACAGCTCTCAAATGCCCAACATCAGACAGAGCAGCAGTGATGGGCGCTTGGGAAGTCACAGAGTCCTTCCCTGCTGCTTCCCAACAAATATTCCTCTAGCAGCATCTTAAGGTGATGTTAGATCAAGTGAAGATAAAGAAAAACGTGGAAAAGCCTCTCTGCAGACCTTGGTCCATGGTTCAGGCTATTTAAATAGGTTGGGTAGAAGCTGGAGGTGCAGCTGCTGAGTAGCTGGAGGAAGGCTGCCCCTCCGAGGGCTAGCTGCTACCAGGCAGTGTTTTGCAGCTGCTAAATGACTTTTTAAATTGAAGAGGAACCTACAGCAACGTTTACAGTCCCCTCAGCTCCCTTATATAGGGCAGCACAATGGCTGGAGAGCACCACTTGGCTCTGTTACCAGACAGCACAGTCCTGCTGTCCCACTGCAAGGAATGGGTATGGATTCCAATAAACCACAGCAGCTCTGGCCAAAGGTGATTTCCCTCCTGCCCTTCTGCTCCCCTTCCCCACCTCTCCCTTCCCTGTGCCACTGGATTGAGGACACTCACAAAATTTAGCCCTCTAGGAGGCACGGAGCAAACAAACCTTTAGGGGTTTTTTTCCCTGTGACTTGGCTTATTTAAGTGTATTAAAAGTGGGTTTGGGGTGTGCAGTGTTTTTCCTTGGGGTGTGACAGATGCTGTTGATGCCTCAGCAGCTGCAGCACCTTAGAGCTGATGGCTGGAGCCTCCCTGTCCTTTCCCTGCAGCTCAAATCATCCCTCATGGCCCAAAACCAGAGGTGGGATTTAGCAGGTGTAATGAGGACAGCTCTATAAGCCACAAGAGATGGAGAGAAATGTATGTTCCTGCCTCTCCCACGTTCAGTGACCTAAAATCTTCTTTGGAGTGAAGTGTAGCCTGTGTTTGCAGTCATCCTGCTGGTGCTGGTGGGGCTGGAGAAGTGCTTGGGTGCTGCTTTGAGTCCATCCAAAGGTTTGCTTCTTCATCAGCTTAGAAATCAGACCACCAAAGGCAAGAATCTCTTCACGAGAGTTTGGGCTCTGGAAAGCCATTCCATTCCTTTTCAGAGACCACCCTGCCCCAAAAACCTGGCAGCAAAGCCCAGCCTTAACCTCAGGCTCATCCCTTCTGCTGAGCCTTGAGCCCTGCCAGAGCCTTCATGCCTGGCAGGGCCAGGGATCTCTCCTGGTGTTTTGGGTAAAGCTTTAATTTTGCATTTTGTGGTCTGGTTTCTAAGCTGATGAAGTAGAAACCCTTTTAATTTCTCTTCTCCCCCAGATTCCAGGTGGGTGTGAGGGACAAGCTGCCACCGTGAGCTCAACCCAAAGCGGGACCCCCCTCCAGCTGCTCCCCCAGCCCAGGGCTGGGAGCATCCTGCTGGGGTCTAAATTAACCCAGGTTATTTCAACAGAGCCAAGGCAGGCAGAGACAACCCATGTGGGGCTGCTGGTGGCTCCAGAGGCTCCATGACACTCAATGGGGAGGTAGAAACAGGCAGATTGCAGACAGGAGCTGTTTTAATTTCATCTTCAGATGAATTCAGCCCAGTGTGTCAGCCTGGGCTGAGCGAGCCCTGGGAAACAGGAGGATGGACTGTCCCAGGAGCAATTTTAACCACGTGTCAGACAAACTGATACTGGGCTGCAGAGGCATCACACCGAGGGGGGAGGGGTGTCACAGCTCATTCTACCCCCCCAGTAGGATAAATGGGACAGGCACATCCAGGCAGCTGCAAACCAGAGCAGGAGCTCCTCCCGCCAGTGATTTGGGCTGAAAAATGAAAACTAAGTTTCTTTTTTTAATTTTAGAACTAAAAAACCAGATCACCCCACTCTCGTGTTTCAGCTGGGGGTCTGGAGCCCTGTGTGGCAGTGGGAGGGGGCGGCGGGGGCCACGGCAGGCAGGAGCCTTGGACTTCGTTAGGATTCAGCCCTTAGATCTCTCCTTTCTCTCTGATGGCTGAGTGTGATTGACACTTACAAATTACCCAGCCAAAAGTGTCGAGTCTTTGACCCCTGAGTAACATCTTTGGCAAGCCTGAGATTTGCCAGCATTTTGTCATCTAATTACTACAAATCCCTTGAAAATTCACTGGCTGGTGAATTTTTAATGCGGGACAATTTCAATGTGATGCATCGCCCAGATGGGCACGCGCGCGCCTGCTCCTTCCCTCTCCCCCCCGCTGCCGCTTCCCCTTCCCTTTCTTCTCCTCCTTCTCTCCTTGCTTTGCTCCACTTCCTCCCCCCATCCCGTTTCTTACCTCCCTCCTGCCTCTGTGTGTTCATGGGAAGCACCCCGGTGTCTCATCCCTTCCTGGGCTCTCCATCCCGCTGGATGTGCCCGGGATGGAGCCGGGCACTTGGTGTCCCCCCAGCCTGGCTCGAGTCCCCCTCGCTGTCTCGCCGCTGGTGACAGGGAGGTGCTACATGGAATTAATTCTCTTTCCATCTTCTCAGGTCTCTGGCTGATGGATGGAGCAGGAGAAGCCTCCGTGAGGACTCGGCAGCCAGCACACTTGTTGCCGGTGCCGTCCACTCGCCCTGTGAACCCCAGGGCTGATTTATGCCATGGGTCCAGCTCTCGGTATTCCCAGCCTTTTAAACAGACCTTAAATTCAGAGCGGGAGGAAAAACCCTTGTCATGCCAGCAGCTCCTGCCCGAGCATCACTTCTTAAATCCAGGCAGGGATGTGATTCCCTTCATCTCAGAAGCCGCCCAACCTGGTGGAAGAGGAACTTGGGGCGATGGACACTTCCCTGCTGACCCCAGGGACTCGGGAACCTGCTTTTAACATCTGAACTAAATGGCAATTTCTGTACATTAAAAACCACACGTGTATTTTAAGTTTTCCACAGGGAATCACGTCTGGGGTTTGCTTGGGTTTGTTTGTTTAATACATCTTTGCCACAGCCAGGTAGTTCTGCTGGGCTGATGGGGAGATAAGCGTGTTTTGGGAGGGAGGCCTGGGCTTTGCCGCGCTGGGCTTTGTGCCTGTGTCATTTCTGTCCCTGCTCTCAGGCAGTCGCCTCCCATCTCTCCCTTCCCAGCTTTCAAAGGGAAAGAGGCTTTGCTTTTCAACCAGGGTACCGCTTTACATATGTAGGCAGCTGATAAAGTATTTTCACTTCGCCCCTTTCCCCTCTGGGAATCGCTGTCTTACGGCAAAACTGTTTTGTCTGACAAGGGCTGCAACAGATTACACGTGTTGGCTGCAAACATGGGGCCTTTTCCGCCCCCCCCCTTTTTTTTTTTTTTTTGAGAACCCCATGCCTTTAAAAAAAAAAAAAACTCTATCTCTGCACTGCCACGAGGAGCTTTTTTTTTTGCCTCAAGTCCCCAGGAGCGGCCCCGTGTTCAGATCTGCCTGTGGCATCAAACCTCCCGGGTGAGGCACCTACCCAGTTTGTTTTTCTCACATGAGGTTAATTTGAGCCTGAATCCATGAAAATGCCACTGATTCTGTCAGGGCTGAGCCCTTCAGCTGGTCTGGCTTTGGGTTTGAGGTGGGATATTTTGGGACCCCTCGGCATCAGCACCCCCAGCACCCATGGAGATCAGCAGGACTCAGAGGAGCTGAGGACCAAGCTCCAAGTTTCACGCTGACAACCACAACAGGGAGCCACACGTGATGAACTCAGTGGCTCAGGAACATCCCCTTTCCAACCCAAACATGGGTTATAGATTTCTCCCATCTTTAACTGGGAGCCAGGTGGGAAAAGTTTGGGCTCCGCTTTTCAAATTGGCTGTTTAGGCACTGAAAACCTTAAAACCCTCAGCTGGCTCCAGCAGGAGAGGGGCAGAGCCAGGAAACCCCTGGTCCCAGGCTCCATCTCCTGAGCTGCCCCTTCCAGAAATGTCCCTTGTCCTCCCAGCAGCGCTGGCACCCAGAGGGAAGGGCTTGGGGAAGGTGGATTTAGGCACCAAGGATGAAGGGAACACCAGGATTCATGGATATTTCGCTGTTAAGAAGCTGCACACCAGGGCTGAGACGTGGCCAGGTTTCAGAGAGAGAAAAATGACACTGCAGTGCCTTGGAGTGGGCACCCAAAACTGGGGATGCCTGAGGGGGCTTTGGAGGAGAGGAACCCTGGGAGGGGGGACAATTCATCACAAACTAACCCAGGCAGTGCCTTGTGTGCTTTCAGGGGGAAATACAAGATGATTAGTGATGGGTTTGAAGAATTAGGGTGTGTCACTGCAGGTGGAAGGCAGCTCAGGAGAAAGCTGCTCTCCAGGAGGGATCCTGGCTGGAAGGTGATATCCAAGTCAGGGAACCCAAACTGGATGCCATGGGGAAATGTGAGCTTCCTGAAGCACAAGGTTAAGACATGAGGTTTAGTTTAACTTCTGAAACCAGAAACTTGTCATTTTGCAGTATGTTTTGTGTGTCACAGAGGACCTGGAGTCACACCAGGGTGCCAGCAGCTCTCCTTGCGCCACTGCTGATGGATGCTAGTCCTGCCTGCTCCCAAAAACCTCTGGGGACCTCAGCACTGAGCAGACTTTGGACCTGGGCACCATCCATCAGTTGTGTCAGCACTGGGGATGCTCAGACCCCGGAAGAAGCTGTGGTTGCCTCAAGTGTTGGTGATCCCACTGGATCCACCTGGCTTTTTCTGAAGGAGAAAGTCCCACAGCAGCACAGTCTGACTGCAGACTGAGAACACCATCCTGGGCACGTCGTGATGGGCATTTTCATGCCCAAGGACACCCAGAAGCAATGTGAAGCCCAACCTGCTCTTTTCCAAATTAATGCCTTCCTTTTTCCCCTCCCCCCCATTTTCACATTCTCACTCATGAAATCCCATCGAAGCAGCAGGTCCAGGTCCAGGGAATACTTTGCTTCCCCCGAGTTGTTTGTGGAGATAATTAACTGTGTGTTCTCTCAGCTGAGACCTGCCATGGCAGCGCTGAGTGAAGGGAGCCCGAGGCCTGCGACGTCGGCGGGGGATGGATGGGGAGAACCATGGATGGAAAACGCAGGAGGAACCAACTGAGAGTGACCCTCACTGTGGTGTTTGCCAGGTGGGACCAGCCACCACGGGCTGCCTCTTCTCCTGGTCTCTAATTGTGCCCCAGCCTCAGGCCATTCAGCTTTGGGAACATCCTTTCTGCGCTTTCTCAGCTTCTCTGTGCCCCGATGGAGCTCCCTCCCCTCCTGCAGATGTGGCTGCAGCTCTGGTCCATGTCATGACACAGTGATGATCCTGCTTGGTGCTTTTCCCAGCATTCCCATCTTCCTAGTGATTTCTGACCTTGAGCCTCCCATTACTTCCCACTCCTGTTTCTTGCAGAGCCAAGTCTGACGATGCTCCGGCGGTCGGGGGGGACACGGTGGGTCACAGCCCTTGGTTCAGCCCAGGGCACTGCCTCCTGTACAGGGTGACACAGCCAGGCCAGGCCAGGCCACCTGCACCCCAGCACCTCCCCAGGCTCTTCCCAGGTCTGGCAACATCCTGGTGCCCCCCAGCAGCCCCTGGCACTCCATAAAGCCCCTGCTCTCCTCACACTGCGGTGCCTGGGTAACTGAGAAGTAATTAGTGCCGCTTGCTATGGCAAGTAGTGCCCAAATGTCAAGGAACAGCAAAGTTATTAAACCTGTTTTTACTGCACTTTTGCAGCCAAAGTCTGTATGTGTGTGTGCTGAAGTTTGGGGGGGTGAATCTGGCCCCAAAGCACTGGGCAAAGTCCCTTCTCCTGGCAGGTCATTCCCTGCTCCCTGCCTCAGTTTCCCCTCCACTGCCTCTGTAAGGGACCTGCTGTGTCCTACATGGGGAAAATCACATAGTTGTGTGATGGGAGAGGCCAGATCCTGCCCTGGGGGTCACCAGTATCACTGATTTCACCAGCTGGGGTGGGCAAGGGCAGCTTAGAAGCCCTGGGAAACCTTCTGCTCCCTTTTTGATCTTAAAATCAAATGGGTTGGATTGAGCTGAAGGGCTGTCCCTGCCCATCAAAGTACTCCCACACCCCCAAACCTGTGTGCTTGAGGCTACAGGCAGGTTTTGGGGGTGGCAGGCAGCTTGTCTGGGTGCAGGCAGGCAGAGGGTCCCACAGCAGGACTGTGATGCAGACTGTGCTTCCCATCCCTGCACCAAGCAGGAGAGGGAGAGAGCGGGAGAAAGCGGGAGGGAAAGGACGTGTCAAATCAATCATATTTAAACAAAAGCCTCTTCGGCCCAAGGGCCCTTTTAAAAGCTGCTTATTTAATTAAAAGTCCCATTTTCCATATTTATGGCCCTTATTCAGTTAAATATTAACCGCCTGGGCCAGGGCTGGTTTATTCTTTGGGAAGAGGCAGAGTTGGGAGGTTCATTAGGGGTTTATCAGGCAGCCAAGGCGCCTGGCAGGTGGATGGATGGAGGGATGTGGGACAGCACACATGGGCTCATGCCTGGGGACTGTGGGGATGACACCACCACTGCTCCATCGCCTTCCAGATGGATGCAGGGAAATGGGGTTAAAAATGGGGAAATTGGGGCTGTTGGGATGGTGTGAGAGATGAGCAGCTGATATGCATGCTGGCATATCAGCTCCTGTGGGAAACAGCCTGCACCAGGCTGGCTTTGGGAGCTGGAGCAGGGACCTCTGGGGGGATGAAGGTGGGTCTTGGAGTCATGGAGGAGGGCCAGAGCAGCACAGCTGGCTGCCATGAGTCAGTGATGCCTCCAGAAAATCACAGGATCACAGAATGTGACAAGTTGGAAGGGACCCACAAGGATCATTGAGTCCAGCTGCTGGCCCTGCACAGGACCATCCCAGAGTCACACCATGTGCCTGTAGCTTATATAGGGGAGGGGATAAAATGGGATTTGGTCCCTTGGGGCTTGTTGGTGCTCCAAGGGAAAGCAGCATGTCCTGGCCACGACGGCAGCAAGAGGGAGTAACTACCAGGAGGAGGAAAGGAGCAGCTGTGGGGAGATGGGGCTGTGAGGTCTTTTCCAGCCTTAACAGTTCTGTGACTCTCCTGTGTGAGGTGTCCAGGCTCTTTCCTGGTGCCTCTTCTTGCCTGATTGGGATCTTGTCCCTGGCTGTGTCACACAGGTGCTTGGGTCAGTGTCACCTCAGTGAGAACTGTCTGGTGATTTGAAGTTGTCTGACTGCTTCATCCCGCTGGGTGCTGTGCAGGGGGGTCCTGCCTCGGCTGGGTGGTTTGTAGATCATTATCAAATAACTCTTGAATGTCATTTACATGGCAGCAGTGAAGCAAGAGGGTTCACCTGGGCTCTGCAGCTTTGCTGGAGGCGGGGCTGGTTGGGAGAGCTTGGCCAGGCTCATCTGTGGGATTGGAGCTTCAGTCATAGGCCAGCCCAGCTGGGGGGAAGCTGGAAGGTGCCTGAGGCCAGAAGTTTCTTTGTGCAAAGGTGTCTCCCTCCACGTGCAGCTTCTTTTTTTCCAGTAGGCCCCCGGGCAGCTCTTGCAGCACAGGGTTTGAGTTGCCACCATCAAGGTGAGCCTCTCCAAGAATCATGGAATGGTTTGGGTTGGAAAGGACTGTAAAGACCATCCAGTTCCAGCACTGCTGCCATTTCCAGGTACACCTTCCACTGGAAGGGGATGCTTTCCTCCAAGGGGAAGACCATGGAGCAGAAGAGCAGCCATGCTACCGAAGGTGTCCATGGGTCCCTTTCTTGGATGGGTCCCTTACCAGGCTGGCCCCAGTGCTCACCCTGCCACGAGGCAGAGGTGAAGCCCTGGCAGGAGGAGCTGCAGTGTCCTGTGGTGCTGGATCCTGCAGGACAACCTGCTTTAGAGGTGCTGGGACATGCCCTGGGGAGGGAAGGTCTCCTGTGAAGGCTGCAAGAGAGTGGAGCTCACCTGGCCAGACAAAAATCTTGCTCTGACAAAAATCTTGCTCCACCCGTTCTCCC